CAGGCAATTCTCCTCCCCCAGCCTCCTGAGTCGCTGGGATTACAGGCACGCGCCACCATGCCCAGCTAATTTTTTGTATTTTTAGTAGAGACGGGGTTTCACCATGTTGACCAGGATGTTCTTGATCTCTTGACCTCGTGATCCACCCGCCTCGGCCTCCCACAGTGCTGGAATTACAGGCTTGAGCCACCGCGCCCGGCCTCAATTTTTCAATCTTATAAAAAGAACATGGAAATAAACATTCCCGTACACCATCCTTTTCCACATCTGATTATTTCTTTAGAAGAAATTTCTAGGAAGGCAAGTGATATTATGTTCAGTATTTCTGGATTCTAAATATCATAGGGGTGGGGCGGAGGTGGGGATGTCTAACAGGTACCACAAAAAATAGTTATGAATAAGGCCGGGCGTGGTGGCTCATGCCTGTAATCCCAGCACTCTGGGAAGCCAAGGAAGGCAGATCACCTGAGGTTGAGAGTTCGAAACCAGCCTAACCAACAAGGAGAAACCCTGTCTCTACTAAAAATAAAAAAAAAATTAGCCAGGCATGATGGTGCATGCCTATAATCCCAGCTACTCAGGAAGCTGAAATAAGAGAATCACTTGAATCCAGGAGGCGAAGGTGGAGGTTGCAGTGAGCCGAGATCATGCCATTGCAAGTGTAATCCAGCACTTTGGGAGGCTGAGGCGGGAGGATCACCTGAGGTCAGGAGTTCAAAATCAGCCTCACCAACATGGAGAAACCGCATCTCTACTATAAAATACAGAATTAGCCGGGCGTGGTGGCACATGCCTGTAATCCCAGCTACTTGGGAGGCTGAGACAGGAGAATAGCTTGGACCCAGGAGGCGGTGGTTGCGGTGAGCCGAGATTCTGCCATTTCATTTCAGCCTGGGCAACAAGAGCAAATCTCCGTCTCAAAAAAAAAAAATCTCATGTACCCCATAAATATATACACCTACTATGTAGTCATTAAAATTAAAACAATTAAAAAATATTTTCTTATGATGGAGTCTCACTCGGTTGCCCA